TCTTCTTTGGCACTGAATATAAACCGTCTTCAGATGCTTGAACAATTAGTTTTTTATCAAGGGCACACCTCTCGGCTGATACCAAGGCCATCGTAAAAAAGTAGATCCAGGACTATAAAACCCATTTGATAGCACACACATATAAAAAGATAATATTTGATCTCCCCTCTACAGTGCCCTTCAGTTCCTTTTAGAGTCCTGTTACAGTTACTTGCCCACGGTAACTTAAAGTGAGAAAAGGATTGTTCTGACCGCCTGAAGTGTAGAATGTGATAGAATAATGATGATGATATAAGTTTGTTTCTGATTACAACAAGTCCTAAACACTTGTATGATTTACATCACCAAAGAAAAATGCAATTCAGACACTTGAAATCCTCAAAAATACAAATGTGATGAAATGAGCGACTTGAAATATGAACGTTGCCAAAAGTACACAGTCTATAAAGATGTCCCCACAACAGCCATAAAACCTGTGGTGAAAGGTTTTATAACAGTTCTGAAGTTGATCATTGGTAATATTCTACATAAAGCAGATTTTACAGCCCAACAGTGTGACTCACTGAATCTGTATCAGCCTTGCACATCCATTCAGTTCAGCTTCTGAGGGCTTAAAGCCACAAAGTTTAAAACGGATTTCTGGAAAAATAACTCATCTTCTGATGTTTCAGCTTTTCTTCACAGCTTCAGCAGTTTCTTTAGATTTCTCTGTTGTGTGCCTGATTCTACAATTCATTCACAAGATGCTTCTGTCCAAAGCGACGTACATTAAGGAGTTTTTTTCCAGCTAGCTAGAACTCTGTTTCTGAGCCAATGCCGTGTCCACTACAGAATCTGTTTTTAAAGCAGGGCTGTCTCAGGGACACACAGTTTGTTTTGTTGGCCTTGTCCTCCACTTACAGATATTTCTTTAGATTCTCTGAATCTTAAAAACAACAACAAGATTCTAATTGTTTCACCTCAGCACAGACTTTCACAGACACCCTTCACATCTTTTTTTTAAACCATCATGTTACTAACCTGTAGCCAGTTCACCTTCTAAACTTTGACATGTTCCATCAGCTTCTGTGCTACTGCACCAACTTTCTTTTTAAACATTTTGGAATTAAACTAAATTCAAAATCAAAAAAGCTGAATATTTTTGTGAAAAATTTCGGCCTCCAAAAATGTTGAAAATGTTCATGAAAAAAACTTTGGTTTCCTAAAAGTTGGACATTTTCAAAAACATATTTTTGCTTCAAAAAAGTAGAATTTTTTTTTAAAATTAAACAATGTCATTTCACAGTTTCAACATTTAGCAGGTTGTCTTTGTGCTATTTTCAATTCCATACGGGGTTTCAATGTTTCAAATCATCCCTTTCTGTTTCTATTCACATTTTACTCTGAGGTTTTACTTTTAACCCTCTTCCAGCTGTAGGATGGATTGATTATAATCTGTGTGTTCAATGTTGAATTTACCTATGACCTCCAGTTTGAATTCTGACAGATAGAAAATGTTGTCGATGTCGACTTCCACTTCATAGAGTCCTCTGTCTTCAAACTTCAGGCCGGTGATTTCGAGCTCTGCTGTGGCCCAGTCGAGAGTGATCCTGTTTTTGTACGCTCCGTACACCTGTTCCTCTCTGCTGTCAAACTCCACCACTTTGTTTCCGTTATGTCTCCACAGAATTGAATTTGGTTGTCCAGAAAAGGTCGGCTTCAAGCTCTCCCCCGTCCCCTTGAGGACATATTTTGTAGGCGGTTCAGCACCTAGAACTGATCATAGAGAGGTATGAGAATATGAAGCATGTGTCTTTGTAAGGGTTCTGCATATTTAAAACAACTCTAATGAAACGTGTTTATAGAATTTAGAGACCGTTAATCCTGTTTAGTACTCGAGCATTATTATCTGTTATTAATATATTGTACTCATAATAAATGTGGATGGAGAAAAAACAGCAAGTTACTAAAAACACTTTTGTACGACGGAGGATTACGGCCATGTTAAAAAAAACAAAAAAATAATTTTGAGATTAAACTCCGAGAATAAAGTCGTAAATTTACGAGAATGAAGTCACAAATTTACAAGATTAAACTCGTAAATTTATGACTTTATTCTCGTAAATTTATGACTTTAATCTCTTAAATCTTAAATCTTAAATCCTCCATCGTACAAAAGTGTTTTTAGTAACTTGCTGTTTTTTCTCCATCCACATTTATTACGAGTACAATATAGTAATAACAGATAAATTTACGAGTTTAATCTCGAAATTAAAATAAATAATATTTTTTTAACATGGCCCTAATCCATGACCGTTGTACTTTTGGATTTAAGGCTAGAACTTCATTTTTTTATCCAAATAAAAAAAATGGGGAAAAGGACTTTAAGGTAAGCTGCTCATGCGGTCTGGAATCTCCTGCAGGATGATCTGTCTCTTTAAATCTTTTTTTTTTTTTTTTTTTAAGATTTATTTTTGGGCTTTTTGTGCCTTTAATGGAGAAACAGGACAGTGGATAGAGTTGGAAATCAGGGAGAGAGAGAGAGTGGGGAATGACATGCAAGATTTAAACCTGGGCCGCCCGCTTGGAAGACAATAGCCTCTATACATCGGGCGCGCGCACTAACCACTGCACCACCAGCGCCCCTCTTTAAATCTTTTTTAAAGTAGTTTGAAGGTGTTGGAGGAAGATGCTTCAGGTTGTAGATGCTTTGAATAATTAACTTTTCTTCTCTGTGACTCAGGATGTTGATCTGTGTTTATGATTACTCTGTGTGTTTATCTCTGTAATGTGTTTATTGTACTGCTTTACTCTTGTAAATAAGATTTTTAATCTCAATGCAGGACTAAGTCACTTTTAGTCTAGGTCATTTAAACAACTTTCTATGGCGACACAGCAGCATTTGACAGAATTCATCAGTTATTGGATCACCATGGAGACAGATCAGCTGTTTAACATTTTATTCACTTAAAACACAAGCAGTTGTACCTGAACACCTCCCTGACTAACAACAAATTCTCCTTCAACTTATGTTTCCAGAATCCTTGTTCCAGTGTCTTAATTGTGAGATAGTCCGGCTTTTATTTGTGTTACATGAATTGAATATTTTCTAAGTCGGAGAACAAAACCATGCATCAAGATCTATCTGTCAAAACTTTCAGTATGATTCCGCTCAGTAAAAATATGTCAAACTTCTGCCTGAACAATGACCAGAGAACACGTCTCTGCCATTGTCCCAGGATTAACACTTCATGATGATACATGCTGAGTAAAGAGTGGTGAAGATGTGTGTTTAGTTTGTTCATGTGTAACAAGTGTAAAGTCGATGTTAAACATTTGAATACAAAGTTAAAACAAATAAAAGTAAACATGAAATAGACTAATATCATCAGGTGTATTTCTTAGTCTGTTATTAACAAACGTATCAAAGTAATGCTGTGTTTCTATAAAGTCTATTACTTCATAATAAACATGTGAATTATGCATTTTTAAAAGCAAAAATACTGCACAGGTCAAAACTTATGTACATGTCTGATAAGGAAACAGTTTTTAGCTGCAGTGAACTATTGAACCCTCTTTGTATTAATGATTACTGAACATGTCTGGTCCTGCTCGTGGTGTGGTCTGCAGCTCTGTAGGTTCATTAAGTCTCAAGATAAAAACAGCAGAATGGTAAAGAAGAAAAACTCACCGAGGCAGGAGGTAAATAAGAACGAGGCCAGGAAATAAAAGCAACCCATTGCAGAGCAGCAGAATAATCACAGGTATGCTCCGCAGCCGCCGTCGTACCTTCAGTGTACTTTCACTTTCACTTTGTCGTCTCGGATGCAGGAACAGAAAAAACACTTTTACTCTCTGATTTAACTCCAACAACTCGTGGGTTGTTATTTCTCCTTCCAACAAGTCAGAACAGGATCAAGTCAACACTTCTTGGAGCAGTCGGGCTCAGGTAACACAAAGGGGCGCGGCTGTAGGACGCAGACAAACAGGCAAGGTTCTAAACGACAGTGTCTCGTCCAGATGTTAACATCTGAGCTTCCGGTCTGTGTATACCTCCGACCTTCACAATAAGGTAGAAGCTCGACCATTGTGTAGTCACGACGCCTACATGCGAGGCTACACGGCTTAAGTTAGGCTACTTTTTCAAACTTCAAATATCTCTTAATAAGTGGACGGAACAATGTTAACTATTGGTTTTATATGCAGACACACTGTTTGTTCATCTGCTCTCAGGTGCCCACCTGAAAAGGTGTGTTTCCCAGCTTCGGTGTACAGATGTTATCAATAGAAGACAGTCCGTTTTAACTAAAAACAAAAATTAAATAGGTTTTGTCTTATTTTCTTTCTTTTTTTCCCCCACAACTTTCACTCACCTGCTGTTTGTATTTAGCCTCTGTGCTTTTAGTTTGAAATCAAACAGGAAACTGGGCTTTGACAGTTTAGTCACGATGCCAAATCTTTTTTTGAAGGTTGTGCGGGCTGTTAAAGAAACAGGAGCAGTATGCTTTCGTTGTGTCTCTCATTTACAAACAATTTATATTTGAATGTATTTTTAATTTCTTTAGGTTTGTAAGGTTTGTGTCTTAAACATGTTTACAGAATGTAGATAGTATTATATGGAAGCGATTAGTGATCAGAATTCAAATGATAAAGCTAATTTGAAAATTAAAATCCATCAACAGAAATGTTTTTTAATTTTCAGAATATGGGAGTATTATTTGACTCAAAAATAAAATTATGACTAATTTATCTGAATAGAATTTTAGTTTTCAACTTCAAAAATGCACATTTTTTTAAATTGAAAAAGCAAATGTAATTTTCTAAATTTTGATTTAGTCAAAGAATGTGCATTTTTATTTAAATGATTACATGTTATCATTTGAATTCTGATCACTAATCACTTCCATAGTATTCATCTTATGATCGTCTCACTTTATGTCTTTATCACCACTTGATGGCAGTGTTGATAAAAAAAAGGCCTACAGAGTGAGTTATACTACACACAGTCTATATTCATTTCATGAGTATTGCTTCATTCTGTTTTTGCATTCTGTTCATTGTGAAATCAACAATGTATTTATGTTGTATATTTTTGTACATTTTAGGTATATTTATATGTATTATGTATTTATTTTTTAAGGTTAAGAAATCTTGTTATTGTTTCTGATTAATATTTGATTTAAGTTATATATCACTTAACAAAGTCAGTATAGGAGCCTATTCACACATAGTTGGAATTGCCCAACATTAAGATTGATATGTACTAAGTATACACTGTAAAACATCACAGCCCAATTTAGTTATCTCCACTAACTTATTTTCTTTAACTCAAATAACCGACCCAAGTTTTAGATTTTTAACTTACATTTATGAGTTTTCAAAAGTGAAACTTGCAGAAATCAATGTGATGATATTGTGCTCAATAGGGAAGAGGTGTCACCTGCTGGTCATTTTAGAGAATTACATCATGTAGTAATGAGCAGTGTGCATCAGTCGATGACAGATGAGCCATCAGTGTGCAGAGTAATCACTTCAGAAGTTGGTTGTGCGTGAGTGAGTACTTACCTGAAGTCTTATATGTGACATTGTGTGTTCTTTAATGTTGAGGCAAAGTTGTTAACTCCTGCGGAGCCAGAGTTTAGAGCTTAGATGTTCGGCGTATTCTGGATATGCTAATTGGCCGACGTCACGGCCCGACATGCTTACTAACTGTGTTGCTCTCTGCACGAGGAGGAAAGTTTGATGTCCGTGCTTCACAATAAAAGCATCGTAGTATTTTTATAGGGAAATGATTGTATGACTGTTAAGCCTACGATAGCCTTTCTGTGCTTAATACTTTAGGTTAAAGAGACATGTAGCTTACCTTTATTTATTTACATATTATAACCTATTACATTACTGTGTAGTGTTTTGTATGTTATTATAGAGGTAAGATGAAGCATTCAGATGTGTTCCTTAAGTATATATTCTGCTATTCTTTTTCTTATAGAAAACCACAACAAGACCCAATACTCTGTCATATTTAATGGCCACTGAGATGCCTGTATTTTGTTTCATGAGGAAGAAGTAAACAGCCATTCAACCAAATCTGCCCTCTTGTTATTCATATTCTGGAATAAGGCCTGAAGTGGTGTTCTGGCCGACACACCTGAGTGAATCCAGTGGAAAGCAACAGACTAGTGTCCCAACTGAGTTTAGTTTTATTATCTTCATTACAGCCAGGACTTTGACAGAATCACTGTTCTTTAAACCATGGTAAGAAATAGGCAAAAGTACACATTGTATAGTGTATATCTGCTCTTCATTCGAATTTCAACCTAAATTTGGACAACAATAGAGGACTCTTTCCTGCGGCGGAGGAAGTCCGTGCGCCTGATAACATAGCTTGAACGGAGGCGGAGTAATTCAACGGTCCTGTGAAGCAGCCGTAGGGAGAGAGAACGTCTTCGGTGAACCGACAGCATTCGGACTTGGATGTAAGTTTAATATATTATCATTATTAATAAGTCATTTTATTGTTTTTGTTGTTGTTATCAGTTGTAGGATCAATTAATTTGTTGTAGGTAGTTAATGTCCGGAAAGGCAAAATGCAACGTCGTGTCATTAGCTAATGCTCCTTCCTTCGTGGCCGAGTGCTAGCTTATTTGCCGTGCTGCTTAAACTCAAGTTTCATGGCCAACTCGCTACAAGGTGGATAGAACGGGGAATCATATTAAACTTCATAATTTTTATTGACCAGTGAGTAAAAAATAATGTATTTTAATTTGAGATAATGACTTGAAAGTTGTATTTTCCCCTTTGTGCTGCGCGCGCATGAGTGGTAAACAGTTGATGAGGTGGAAATGTATGTTTTGTGCATTTTCTTTCAGTGGACAACAAAGACTATTACAGCATTATAAAGATTTATAAAATTTAATTTCAACCCCTGCGTATAGCTTTATGCTGCTCTTTTAGGTCACCTTTTTTCTCTTTTATCCATATGTTTCAGCTAAATTCAGAGTTCAGGAGGATTGTCACCACAGACCTGATGGAGTCTTTCTTTGGTGGACTAGATGCCTTGTTACCAAACCTTATAGAGTTGTACCAGTCAGGTGTCACATCCAACAAGAGGTTAATCCTGAGAAGAATTCTGCAGTGTCTTGGGAAAGAGGTAAGCACTGTGTAGAGATAAACATTAAAGTCCCCATGAAATCAAAAATACATTTTCCCGGTTTTAATCCGGCGTTCTTGTGTTAAATGTTCATTTATTTGCCAAATATATCAATTTATCAATATTTTGCATCTAAATAATCAAAAAAGTTCTCTTCCTGTAAAACATTTTACATGCCTGATGACTAGGGATGTAACGATTCACTCAACTGTCAATACGATTCCCGATACTGGGTTCACGATACGATTGTTTCACAATTTATTTTACAGTGTTTCCCCTAGGTTTAGAGCTCTGAGGAGGGGGGGGGTGTCAGTTGGATAACACCACAGACACAGGAATCATGGTGTTCATGTGTTTCTTTTAATGACAGCAGTCAATATAACAACTGAACAATTATTTGAACTTGTAACGGTCTGTCCAGCTTAGTTTTTGTTACTGCAACTTCCGTTTCTGAGTGCACCTGAATGTATCTCTCGTTGTCTGAGCACCCCTGAATGCAGCATGGTCTCAACGCATCCCCTGAGTAACGGCAGAGAGAGAGACATGCCCAGAAAAGTCCAAAGTCAACTAAGCAGACGACTGTTTTTTCTGATGGTTCTTACAGACTTTTTATTATTGCGTGCGTGTGTGATCTTTACATGCCTACTGATGACTCATCCTTCAGTCTGAAATGACTTTTTTCTTTAAATTGTTTTGAAATTACTGGAAAAATTATCACACAGCTAAAATAAGACCTGGTTTGAGAGCTCATGAAAAGAGGATTTTCGAGGGACATGGTTTTTCACTGGACAGTGACACCAAACATAATGTAATGCAGTGGATGATATTTCAGTATGTATTTGTACTTTCAAGTAAAGGTTTAAAAAAAATGTTCAACCGCTGGTAATATTGACCTGATTTCCCCCCCCACCTTTGTAGGATTCAAACCAAAACAGACTTACAGATGCCCTACTTGGCCTTCCATGCTTCTTTGCAGAGGATTTCTCAAACATGATCCGGGTTATGTGTGATGTAAGTTGTTTTAAGAAAACGATTTCATGGTCATAACATAACATTTTTAAAACTTTATTTGAAGGGATACTTCACCGGTTGAAACATGAATCTGTATTGACATTGGGTCATATACGTAGAAATGTGAAATACATTTTGAAGTTGATGCCTTCTTGACTGAGAAAAGGCAGAAAGTGTCTTTTTGGCTCATGTGGATGAAAGACAACAACTCCCAGACTCAGCACTGCAGCCCACTCCCACTAATCTGGAGAACACTGCCTACCAAGCGAGCTACTACCAGACTGAGGCGAAATTCAATTCACACACATTCTAGTGAGTATTTCCGGGCAGAAAACCGCTGGCTGTACGCTCAGAAGTGTCTGCATGAAGCGCTTGTGCACCAAGAAGAAAAGTGCTGCACGTCCATACGCTCAAGTTGAAATTCTTTCAACTTTTCAAAAAGGCGCTGTTGACGTCACAGGCACTGTATTAAAAATGTATGATATTCCCCGTATTATAGCGACCCACAGATCGTATCTTGTACTCACATCCTTTTTGCTCCATCTGCTGGGGTAAAAAAAGTAATAGTGCTGTGTCGGAGACAGAAGATAAAATTAGGAGCCTTCTTTCAGAGAAGATGAAATTAGATCACCGTCAGATTGAAATTGAACGTGCTCATCGTTCAGGTAAACCTGCTCCAATGTGCAACAAACCCCGTCCAATTACAGTGAAGCTTCTAAGGCATAAGGACAAGCTCTCCATTCTGGCTAAAGCAAAAACCCTGAAGGGGTCGAACGTCTATATAAATGAGGACTTCTCTGAAACAGTTCGGCAGAAGCGGAGAGAACTTTTGCCAGAGATGAAAGCTGCACGAGAGAGAGGTGATATAGCTTACCTACGATATGACAAGCTCATCGTGCACCCACCTTCACATAAGCCAAGAAGAAATGAGGTAATGACTTAAGGAATCCATGTTGCTGTACTATGTTTACTCCTTTCATAATATGACTAAACAAGATCAGTGTTCGCAGTGTCAAAAAAGTATCTACACCAGTATCTAAAAAGTCATCTGGCATATGGGCATCTTGGATTTGTAAAGAATGTGTAAGTCTATTTCCTTTCTCTATACTTGATGATGAATTTGCCTCCTACCTGATGGACAGTCATGACTCAAAACACTTAGACATAGACAATATGCTGTTTAACCCATTTGAATTAAATCATGAAAAAGGAAATGTTCATGATTCAAATTTTGATCCTGATATTAATTTCTTCTCAACAAACTCTAATCTAGGCCCTTGTCACTACTATAGAGAAAGCCAGTTTAATGCCTATGTAGGAGCCATGTTTATGAAGTGCAAACACAAATTGTTCCAGCAGGTGTCGCCTTTAGGTTAAGGTGAAACTCTATATAGGTAGGAACTATCACTGGGGTGTCAGGTGTTGCTAGACAGGGAGCAATTACACTTTTTTGACCGCTGTACGCCACGCTGAGGTAACAGGAGTGAATGTAAATGGACATGTCTGGATTGTTGTTTGAACAGTTCACATGTGACAGTAATCAAGACAATGATGGAATGAGAAATAAATATTCCTAAACAAAGAAGATATTGGACTGTCTTTTTTTTAAATTCTTACGCTCAGGAGCGAAGCAGCAAGCGCGTCAATTAATAGACTAGATTAGCCCGTCTATGTAGCCCCTCAGTGGCTTTAAGTTTTAGGCTTAGCCGCTATAGCCTATATCAAGTCACTTTCAACAAAATCAAATATTTTTTCACTATTGCATTTCAATACCTGCAGCCTTCCAAAAAACTATGACCAGCTTTTGCATTATCTATCACTCTTAGAACATGACTTCTCAGTAGTTGCTTTAACAGAAACGTGGCTTACTGAAGAAACTAAGGATTTATATGAACTGTCTATGTATAACTCTATTCATTTTGTTAGGGAACATAAAATCGGAGGTGGCGTTTCAGTTTATGTCCATAAAAAACAGTTTTAAGAATAGATCTGATATTTCCCTCAAATCTCATCAAATTGATACAGAATCAGTGTTTACTGAAATCTCCTGTTACGATTCTGGGAAAAATGTGATTGTAGGCTGTATTTACAGACCACCAGACACAGACATAAATAGTTTTAATGATAGCTTGAACACTACACTGGAACTAATAAATAACCTGCTACATCCTTGGGGGACTTTAATATCAACCTTTTTATGGGGGAGACTCACTGTCTGACTGAAGATTTCCTGAATAATTTATATGCTAATTATTTTTATCCAACCATGGTAACAAATAAAACGGCAACTTTGATTGATAATATACTGACAAATTCCATGCAGAATATGTCAGTTCCAGGAATATTATATTCAGATATTTCAGATCATTTTCCAGTCTTCCAACTTACAATGATGGATGGAGCTAAGACCAAAAATGAAGTTGTCACAGGAACTTATAGGAAATTCAATGAGAGTAACATGCGCAAATTTCAAGATATGTTGGAAAAGGTATCTTTTGAAAATGTTTTTAAGGAGAGTGATGCTAATTTGGCTTACAATATATTTATGAACTCATTTAATTCAGTATTCTATAAAAGTTTTCCTTTAGTAACTTGCTCGAAAAGGTTGGATAAAGATAATAATTATAATGCTTGGTTTACTGCTGGCTTGAAAAAATTATTTAAAAAAAACCCAACTCTATAAACGATATATTTTATGTCCTACACCCCTAAATCAAGCAAATTATGAATTGTATAAGAATAAATATAATCATCTTCTTAGAGTAGCCAAAAAAAGATTTTTCAGTCAGCAGTTAAAGAATTCTGCAAGGAACATCAAAGCTACATGGAAAATTATAAATCAGCTACTCCAAAAGAAAAAACCATCAACAATTTTTCCGCTTAGTTTTTCCGATGAGAAAACATCCATCACAAGTCGTTTCGATGTTGCTTGCAAATTCAGTGAGTTTTTTGTGAATGTGGGAACTTCCATCTCTAAGCAGTTTGGAAACACAAATGAAAGTCCAACCGATTATATCAGAGGTAGCTTTCCATCATTCTGCTCGTTTGAACCTCTTAACTGTAATGAGATAAATGACATTATTATAGAGCTAAAACAATCTGCCCCGGGTCATGACGGCATTAGTGCAACCCTTGTTAAAGAGGTAAAAAGATCAATATTGAAACTGCTGTTGCATGTTTTTACGATGTCCATGGAAACTGGTACTGCTCCTTCTGATCTTAAACTTGCAAAGGTTATTCCACTTTTTAAATCGGGTGATCCAGGACATTTTACAAACTACCGTCCCGTCTCAGTTCTTCCATGTTTTTCCAAACTCTTAGAAAAAACTAGTATATAAACGCATCCTCAAACATTTGAACATGCATTGTATACTGTATGAACACCAGTATGGATTCTGAAAAAATCACTCTGCCTATATGGCCCTCTTACAACTAGTGGACAAGATTCATTCTGCATTAGAAAAGAGAGTTTTCATGTGGTATTTTTCTGGATCTCTCTAAAGCATTCGATTCTGTAAATCATGAAATTTTACTAGCTAAACTATATAGATAAGGATTTAATGGAAATGTCCTGAAGTGGCTCAGTAATTATGTATATAACAGACAGCAGTAAGTCAACATAAATGGTGTAGAGTCTGAGAGAACTATGATGCAGTGTGGGGTCCCACAAGGGTCCATTTTAGGACCGTTACTGTTTCTCATATACATTAACGATCTTGCAACAGTATCAAACACAATATGCCCATTATTATTTGCAGATGATACTAATTTACTTGTCTCCAATAAAAAATTGTCAGAACTCATGAATGAAGTAAATGATGGCCTTCTTGCATATTCAAAATGGTTTAAAACAAATAAGTTGGCATTAAATGTGAAAAAATCTAACTTCATGATATTTGCTGGAAAAATTAACTATAACTCTGAAATGGTGAAATTGTATATAAATGGTGAAGAAATGACTAAAGTAACATCAACAAGATTCTTAGGGATCTTAATTGATGAGAAACTTACATAGAAAGATCACATCAGCTTTGTCTGTAGTAAGGTTACAAAATCTCTGGGGATTATTAGAAACATCTGTGTTTTTTTACACTCTTCTTGTATCTCAACATTATATTACAGCCTAATATATCCGTATCTTACTTATTGAAATATTGTATGGGCCAGCACTTTCCAAACATATCTTCATAAAATTCTATTACTCCAGAAACGTTTTGTCAGAATGGCAACTTTTTCCAAGTCCTGTGATGCAACCGCCCCTCTTTTTCTGAAGTGTAACATATTGACAATCTTTGATATCAATACTCTTCAAATAAGTAGCTTTATTTTAAAGAGTGCAAACTTGCCAGAAAGCTTTGAAGCATTTTACATTTTTAATTCTCAAGTGAACTATTACTCAACTAGACAAACCAATAACCTCTACCTACCAATGTGTCGTACATCTCGAGGACTCAATAAGATACCGTGGAGTCAAATTATGGAACACGCATATTTATTTACTTGATGATTTTTTGTCTTTTTCTAGATACAAATTGAGACTCAGAAATGCGTTGATGTCAGAAAGATTTGTAGTGAATAGTGAATTGTCCTGATTTTGTTATATTGTCTACATACTGTATGTCCTGCTTTGCTCTATTTTTATGTTTTCAGTGTTTGTATGTGTAGCGTAATTAAATTATTAAGATGTTATATCTTTATTTAACCTCGGATTTAAGAAGGGGCACCACTTCCTGTTAAAGGAAGAAAATAACTTTAATGGTATAAGTTAATTAATTAATCAGTCATTTTCACATCTTGAAAGAAGTAAGTTCTGGAAATGTTAAACAAGAAAACACACAAAGTCCTGAATTTTATGGATCAAATTTAATATAAAAGGGGTAAACAATAATGTATCGATGAAACAGATAAAGAATATGATTATTATGATCAGGATAATGCAATTATAATGTATGGTGACATTATATATTTAGTAATGAGATAAGACGTGGTATTGTTTGAAAGACTTAATCAGAAAATGGTCAAAAAGAAAAAGTTGATAAAAGAATTTTGGGATTCTATTTGGATTTAAAGGAGGGCTCTGAATAGACACGACTCAAGACTTAATCTTCCAACACCCCTTGCCACCAGCAGTCTTACTGTGAGATGTGTTCGATTGAACTCTGCCGGCTGGTCCCGCGTTTCAGTCTCTGGCAAGCGGTTCTTTTCAGGCCCAGAGAGGTCCACGGGCCAGATTAGATGCCTTGACAGCTTGGTCGGAGTGTGCAGCTGGGATGGAGATTGTACGTCGGTTCAGCCGTTGTCTCAGACGCTCCAAGAGGATCCAACAGGAAAGAAATTATTAAAGAGTCTTTTGATGCGTTGATTTCCAACTCAGATTAACCGGATGGCCATCTTGATGAATCCAAACTAAGGAATTGGCGTTCAAAATTGAAGAGCAAAGACACAAAGCAGCTGTCATGATCTCTGTGTTGTTCTCCGATGTGCGGCCGCGGACTCTGCCTTTTTTTTTTATCTCTCTCTCTCTCTCTGTCTGTCTGTCTCTCTCTCTCTCTCTCTCTCTCTCTCTGTCTCTCTCTCTCTCTCTCTCTCTCTCTCTCTCTCTCTCTTGCTCTGAAGCTGATGTGATTCTGCTCTATTTTGCTGTCTTAACTATGCGCAGGAGTCGAGAAGGATTTTTTTAAAAGGGTGTTTTGTTATGTTGAAAGCAGAGCCTTATAATACAGAGGCTGTGGTTGCACGGAGCCTGCACTCTCCTCTCTTTCTTTTTATTGTTCTGCACTTTTTTTGATGTGGCCAAATGTCAGTGTTGTGTTAGCTGCTCCAACAGTTGGCTGCTGTGGGAGCTGGCTGCTGTTTGAGCCTGGTCCTGGTGGAGCTGTTTGAGCCTGGTCCTGGTGGGAGCTGGCTGCCGTTGGAGCCTGGTCCTGGTGGGAGCTGGCTGCCGTTGGAGCCTGGTCCTGGTGGGAGCTGGCTGCCGTTTGAGCCTGGTCCTGGTGGGAGCTGGCTGCCGTTTGAGCCTGGTCCTGGTGGGAGCTGGCTGCCGTTGGAGCCTGGTCCTGGTGGGAGCTGGCTGCCGTTGGAGCCTGGTCCTGGTGGGAGCTGGCTGCCGTTGGAGCCTGGTCCTGGTGGGAGCTGGCTGCCGTTTGAGCCTGGTCCTGGTGGGAGCTGGCTGCCGTTTGAGCCTGGTCCTGGTGGGAGCTGGCTGCCGTTGGAGCCTGGTCCTGGTGGGAGCTGGCTGCCGTTGGAGCCTGGTCCTGGTGGGAGCTGGCTGCCGCCGGAGCCTGGTTCTGGTGGGAGCTGGCTGCCGTTGGAGCCTGGTCCTGGTGGGAGCTGGCTGCCGCTGGAGCCTGGTCCTGGTGGGAGCTGGCTGCTGCTGGAGCTGGCTGCTGTTGGAGCCTGGTTCTGGTGAGAGCTGGCTGCTGCTGGAGCCTGGTTCTGGTGGGAGCTGGCTGCCGTTGGAGCCTGGTCCTGGTGGGAGCTGGCTGCCGCCGGAGCCTGGTTCTGGTGAGAGCTGGCTGCTGCTGTGGGTCGTACAAAGATGGTAAGTGTTGTTACATAAACTTTGGTCTCACTGACCATCCGTACCGTGCCCAAGCACGCTTCAGCCCTAAAGTCCAGTTCGTTTGACCAGTGTGACCGCTCCGTATCGTGCTCAGGCACGCTACACTTCATGCACGAGTTTCATGTCTGTGTCTGACTAACATAAGACACAGACTAACATAACATATAAGACACAAAGCAGCTGTCATGATCTCTGTGTTGTTCTCCGATGTGCGGCCGCGGACTCTGCCTTTTTTTTTTTGATCTCTCTCTGTCTCTCTCTCTCTCTCTCTCTCTCCTCACTCTCCTCTCTCTCGCTCGCTCTCTCTGTCTCTGTCTCTCTCTCTCCTCTCGCTCGCTCTCTCTGTCTCTCTCTCTCTCTCTCTCTCTCTCTCTCTGTCTCTCTCTCTCTCTCTCCTCTCGCTCGCTCTCTCTGTCTCTCTCTCTCTCTCCTCTGTCTCTCTCTCTCTCCTCTCGCTCGCTCACTCCATCTCTCTCTCTCGCTCCTCTGTCTCTCTCTCACTCTCTCTCGCGCGCTCTCTCTCTCTCTCTCCTCTGTCTCTCTCTCTCTCTCTCTTTCTCAAGCGTGCATGTGTTGTATTACGATGTTATGTACAAGAGGTGTACAGGAGGTGTGCTTAGGCACAGATAGTCCTGTGTAGTGTGACCGCGGGCCGTGCCGACCAGCGGGGGGCAATCATGCTTGGGTACAGCACGGTACAGATGACCAGTGTGACCACGCCCTTAAAGTTCATGAGTCATAAATGATTTCATATTGTCATAATTGAATGTATTTGATAAATGAATAAATAATATTTCATGGATGTTAAAATACTTATGTTTCTATGTGGAACTAAAGTTCCTTGTTTTTGGTTCCACTATGACGGAATTAAGGGACGGACATGTACGGTGAGCACACGTTATTTATGTAAACGAACATGAAGACTGTTACCACTGATGTCTGAAGTTCAAGCAGACTGTGAAAGACACTTTACAAGGACTTTAAAGGAGTCAAGAACCTCAAGTGGTCCAACAAGGATTTTGTTTTGTGTCAAATGTACTTTTGTTTGTGCAGATAGAGCAAAGATAGCTCCAGCAATAAAGGCCGTTTCAAAGAACCACCCTGTGTCTGTTGTTGTGAAGAGAGCTACAGTAAGTGTTTTCACCACCAAATTCTCACCAGTAGATGCTGAGACACTGACTAAACATCTACCTGAACAACTCGGCTGTGATGTTAACCGTCAGCGTATTGTCACTGCAAGCAGCAGATATAGCTCGTTTAAAGTGTGTGCTGAGTGCAATGAATTTGCAGAGATGTACAACCCAGAACTCTGGCCCGAAGGCTCGGCTGTGAGGCGATATTATGAACTATGAACGGGGCCGAGGTCAGACCTGAACCTACAGCCGCTGCAACCAGGACCACAGCCTCAACCACCAGGCTATCGGCGTTCCAGTGATACCCATTCTTTAAAAATGAACAACTTTGTACTTTAAAGGAAACAGGCCCTAAAATAAAAATAAAAGAGCAAAACATATTGTTTTATATTGAAAATGATAAAATGATATGAAATAGTTTTATGGGCAGAGAAGATAAAAGTGAAGATCGATGAAAACTCTGAAATCATCCAATCGCTCAACAGAAACTATCACTTGAACCAAGCTCTGCATACCAGAGTATCCTCTCTGTTGTCAGGTGACCTGCAGATACAGACTATTTCACAGTTTTATATTCTAAATCAAATATTTATGAGTTTTAGATCTGTTAAAAAAAGAAGGGAAGTCTCAGCCTGAAAACATAAAGTATCATACCTTCAGTCTGTTTCTCCTCATCATCCTGTTGTCCTTTAGCAAAACATGCTGGAAGCAAAGATGAGAGGAGAGAGAGAGAAGATCAGTATGTTGTTAGTTTTAATACAATATGAAGATTTTAATTATTAATAAAAAATGATCAAAAATAATTCAAAATAAATTAACTGAAATAACAGGACACAATAGGTCATGGTGAATTTGAAGCTTGATCCAAATCAACTGGACTGGTTGAAGATCTTGAAGACGTTCTGAAGACGTTCAACCAGACAGTTGATTTTGAATGTAGCTTCAAATGTACCATGACCTGGATGACTGAGAACCTACTCAGACAATGGGGAACATTATTGTCTTTCTTCACAAACTACCTTCAAACATCATTGTTAGATCTTATATTTGCCAAGAACAGACCCATCTAGTCTCTTTATGACATTAATGCCTAAATAGAACAAACATGATAAAATACTTGAGAATATAAAAATGCTGTTAGACTAACATGGAGGAAGTTATCAGTAAGATCTTTGAGGTGAATCTTTAATCTCAAACGTGAAGTGTCCTGTTTGAACCTTCCTCATGAGGAACACTGGACGACTTGTTCACAGAGGATTTGTCTGATTCATTTCTGTTCTGTTGCGTACCTGATGAATCAGTTTGTGAGACAGATTCATCTTGAGTGTCTTTATTGACCTCCTCTGAGTCAGACCCGTTCTTTTGACCCCCAGCAGGGTCCTTAAGGTCCTCATCTTGACTTAGCTTATCATCTGGAGAGGTTTGATCTGTGGGTGGGACAGGCGATGCTTCCTCACCCCCACCTTGATTCTTCTCTGGAAACAGACAGTAGAAAGAATACAAAAGAGTTTAAAAAGTGCACCTGTCTGTTTAGGATTAGTAAAGGACTGAAATATTCAGAGACAGTCTTTTAGTTTGAATCAATGAGTCTTACTTCATGGAGGTTTCCTAAATGAGACACGGTCTGTGTGATGAGTTAGGTGTAACAAATAAAGTCCCTCCTCCAGTTTTTATCATGTGCTTTCATAAATGAACCATTTGTCTTTATTGTTGTTAAGAATAATCCAGAAGTAAATGAAAGTACTGTTGCATGCTTTGTTTTGTCTCTCAGAGGTTACAAAGTGAACCTTGTAGAAATACTCTAATCGTCTGTACTGTGTGTAAAGTTTGATAGAGCGAGCGTTCTAGCTTTCTGAATCTGATTGAGACAAACAGCCAAATGTGCCAACATGTGAGAAGGTCTGAATTTTCTAAAATATCTTAAGTACTGGCATTATAATATGTAACACACATTGTAATAATGGTATACTGCTGAGGAAGGATTTGACACTGAGGTTTACATACCTGGCTGTTCAGATTCATCAGACAAACCAACACACTCTGGTTCTTTTGTCTCCTCAGAGTTTGAGTGCTCAGGCTGTGAGATCTTTTCCTCTCCAGAGAGATTCATCACATCTGCATCTGTATCACCTCTGTCGAAGTCAGCATGAAGACTTGGAGAGATTAAGTTCCCAAACGGAGAGGCAGGAGGAGATAAAGTTTCTTAAAAAACAAAGAAAAACAAGTGATTTAAAGAAAACAAATACTTAAAGATACTAAACAGAACAGAGACAGTCTCAGACACTGGAGTCAATAAACCCAGTTAGGAACAATCTATTAAGAAACAATGAGTAGTACAGAAACAATAGATTGATACAGGAATTTTCTGATTGGTGGAAAATGAATCAACATGAATTTAATTCATGTTTTAAGTCATTTATAAGTAAAAACAACAACAACTATTAATTTGTTGTACCTTGTTAAATGTTAGGACTCTCTGCTTTTTGATTGTGGAAATGAAAATAAACATCAGCTGCAGCTGTTTGCAGAAATCTACTTCCCATTCAAAATTACCTGTTATGCTTTGAGGCTGTTGAGGTTTTTTACCCTTCTCAATGTTGTGTATCGCCTTTTTGACGAAACCTGATAAGAGAAAAGAGTCACAACTTAACAACCAGCTTTATTCCTAGCCTCTCTTATATCGTGTCTCAGCTAACATTAAGAATGTGTGTTGTGGTGTTACCTTTTCGTGGCTCCGTATCTACAACAGGTTCTGGAAGGAAAAATATTCTTTAGATCAAAATAATTCATGACATGCAGTGAACTGAAATCAGATTAATCATGTTACTCCTTTCTGTACTGTTTAGAAATAAAATCACAATCAAACTATGAGCTAAATAAAATATACACACAGGTAACAGACATGGATGTAAGCTCTAGAGGGCAAAGTAAGAAAGAATGGTTTTACATTTCTCAAAAGTTGTGGGTGTTTTATTTCTTGAATTGTTAAATCAATGTGCTGTGATTGTTCAGTCATTTGGATAAGGTTAGGGTTGTTTCATAAAAATAACAGCAGAAGAAGGAAAGATGAAAACAATCAAGACATGTAAAGTTCTTCAATGATCAGAAATATTTCTTCTAAGAGCTTTAAAGAGAGAGAGAGAGATTTAAGCTTTAAAAACTGTTCAAACAAACACAATGGTTCAGTAGCTCCTGATTAAAACCTGTGGATGGCCAAGTTATTGTAGAGGATGAGTTCCTTCATTTCCTAGCAGTTCAAATTAAAATGATGACCCAGGATGAACTAGTTCTTGAAGCCTCAAACACATTTGACTCCCGAGTGGATCGAGACTTCCAAAAAGGTGTCGTTTGAACTTTGTCCTGAGACCAAGCGGCGGCCTTCAAAACCAAAAGGATGCGAACAATATCAAAAGTTGTCTAAAAGTTCTTCACGAGTGTGGAGAAGATACCCCCCGTTTCCTCTCCCACTACCTGGACGAGCTGCCGCCTGCGACGTTCAGCAACCTGGAAGTGTCTAACCTGCTGAGCAAAATCGAGCGTGTGCACAGTGAAGACACGCAGTGGAAGTTCAGGCTAAACTCGACGAGGACCTGCGTACTGCGACAGCAGAGGTGTGGCCGTGGCGGGCCGGTTGAAGCCGAGTGATGGCGGAGGACTGGCTGTATCGGGTAACGCTAGATCTGGCGGTGGAGGATGCTTCAGCTGCTGGAGAAACTGCGACAAACTCGTTGAAATGGAGTAAAGTTGTGAAACAGGGCCGAGGTCGGAGGAATAATGACGAGGGCCAGTCTGTCCTCGTAAAAAACAGCGTGCTGGAAAACCTGAACGGAGGATGCCAAAGCCTGTTGTTGGTACTGCTGCACAAGGGGATATAAAAGTGGTTCGTACAAAGATGGAAAGTACTATGAGGTAGTAGTAAGAACTATGAACGGGGCCGAGGTCAGACCTGAACCACAGCCGCTGCAACCAGGACCACAGCCTCAACCACCAGGCTATCGGCGTTCCAGTGATACCCATTCTTTAAAAATGAACAACTTTGTACTTTAAAGGAAACAGGCCCTAAAATAAAAATAAAAGAGCAAAACATATTGTTTTATATTGAAAATGATAAAATGATATGAAATGTTCTTCTTTCAGGACTCACGCTGTTAGCCAAGTTATAAGAGAAAGATATTATTTAGCTGAGTAAATCATGAAGGGGGGCAGTGCACATGGGTTGATTAGGACCCCTTTAAATGTTCCAGGTGTGTCACTGTTGGGTGATGCACCAGGAAGGGACACAGGTTTTTTTACCACATGTCGATGAGACAGGTCAATGAATGCAGTTAGAAATGTTTAAATTAAATGAAGAAACAAGAGATCCTGACTGGACATTGAACTTACTGTGTGCGTAAGGCCTCACTGGAACGGTGCATCAGTGGCTGTTTGTTGAGTTCATGTGGTTTCTTTAGAATTGTAACTTAATTCGTTTTTTGGACAAATAGCCACCATAGCTAACCTAGCTGCTGTGTCACTTCCAGGACTTTGTTCTGCTGACAGAAGTGAGAGTGAAATACAACTATTTCATACATTTGATAAATGCTAATTGGCAATGTTTATAAACTGCATGTTGGAAAAGATAACCGCATCACATGTGAATAAATGTGTTCATATGCACAATGAATGATGTATGAGTGAAAACTGGCTAACGGTCTTTCACTTTGCTAACATTGTCTCTTCAAATACAAAACTGTGTTAAAGGTAAACAATGGAGCATACCTGGAGAGTAGCTCACACTGAGTCGCTGATCAGACGGAAGCGTTTCAGTAAGAAGAGGCCTGGTTTCACCTCCCTGAGCCTTCTTCTTATCTGAGCCTGAAACAGATCACAAACAATAAATTGTAGTTTTATGGGCAGAGAAGATAAAAGTGACGATCGATGAAAACTCTGAAATCATCCAATCGCTCAACAGAAACTATCACTTGAACCAAGCTCTGCATACCAGAGTATCCTCTCTGTTGTCAGGTGACCTGCAGATACAGACTATTTCACAGTTTTATATTCTAAATCAAATATTTATGAGTTTTAGATCTGTTAAAAAAAAGAAGGGAAGTCTCAGCCTGAAAACATAAAGTATCATACCTTCAGTCTGTTTCTCCTCATCATCCTGTTGTCCTTTAGCAAAACATGCTGGAAGCAAAGGAGAGAGGAGAGAGAGAGAAAAGAAGATCAGTATGTTGTTAGTTTTAATACAATATGAAGATTTTAATTATTAATAAAAGAACAAAGTCCACTAACACCTCCAGTCTGGTTAAGAAGGCTCATCAACGCCTCTTTTTCCTGAGGACACTGAAGAGACACCACCTGTCTTCAGCTGTACTGATGAACTTCTACCGCTGTGTGATCGAGAGCATCCTGACCAGCAGTGTCTCAGTCTGGTACGGAAACTGCTCTGTCACAGACCGTAAGGCGCTACAGCGGGTGGTAAAAACTGCCCAGCGCATCACAAGGTGTCCACTTCCTGCCATTGAGGATGTCCAAAGAACACGCTGTCTGCGGCGAGCTCACGGCATCCTTAAAGACTCCTCCCACCCTGCCCACAGACTGTTTACCCTCCTGCCCTCCGGCAGGCGCTTCAGAAGCCTCCGGACCAGAACCAGCAGACTGAGGAACAGCTTTTTCCCCAGAGCTGTTTCTCTACTGAACTCTACCCCCCCGAACTCTGAACTCTGTCTCTCTCTCTCTCTCCCTCTCTCTCTCCGCACCCTGCTGACCCCCCTTTCCCCTGCACATCACCTCACACCCATCATCCCCCCATCACTCCTCCTGGTCACACACACACATCTCTCATCCACCTGTATTATTGTATTATAGTATGTTCATATTATGTCCATATTCTTTATATTATCTGTAAACTAGTATAGCATGCTCACTGCACCTTAATCTGTATATTACAATCCTAAGAATACACTTATATTTATAGCATTTATTTATATTTATAGCATCCCATTAATCCAGCCATATATACCTAATAATTCACTTTTTTTGTCTACATCTGTAAATTTTGTAATTACTGTACATAGCACAGAATTACTGTACATAACACAGACTCTTGCACTCAATTACTGTACATAGCACAGACTCTTACACTTTCTGCTTATTTGCACTTCTGGTGAGATGCCAAACCTCATTTTGTTACTCTATACTTGTATATGTGTAATGACAATAAAGTTGAATCTCATCTCATCTCAAAGTGCTTCAGACAAGACATCAAAAGCATCATGACAGAGGAAAGAAAGGAAACATTAAAATAGAACATTTAAAAAATCACTGAAATTATTCAATCTGAAAAAATGTTCAAATAAAAATAATTCCAATGAAATTAACTGAAATAACAGGACACAATAGGTCATGGTGAATTTGAAGCTTGATCCAAAATCAGCTGGACTGGTGGAAGATCTGGAAGACGTTCTGAAGACGTTCTGAAGACGTTCTGAAGACGTTCGAGATTTTCTTTTATTACTTTATAAAAGCATTACATGGCCTTGTACCAGACTACCTATCAGATATGATTTTAGTTTATGAAGCAGTACGACCCCTCAGATCCTCCACTTCCTCTCTCTTAGTTGTTCCACAGAGCAGGACAAAAAGCTTTCAGCTGTTACGCTCTGAGACTGTGGAACGACCTTCCTGAGGGTCTGAGAGGAGAATATTGAGATTTTTAAACGCAGTCTGAAAACTCATTTATTCAGTCCGACTTTTATATCGTGTTTTATATCAATTCAAATCTTAACATTACTGTATTGTCTTTTTTTATCCTACTACAATTTTAAATATTATTCTCCTATGTATTAATTTTAATATCTTATTGCTTTTATGTGTCGTATTTAATTTTTTAATTTTTATATTTTTTTAATTCTTATTGGTGTGCATTAGTCTCTCAAAGATTTTATAAACTACTTTTTTGTCAATAACTTTTCTGCACTCTTGTAAAGCACTTTGAACTGCAATTTAATTTGTCTGAAAGGATCTATATAAATAAAGTAAAAAAAGAAAAAAGAAAAGATCTTCAACCAGTCCAGTTGATTTTAAATGTAGCTTCAAATGTACCATGACCTGGATGACTGAGAACCTACTCAGACAATGGGGAACATTATTGTCTTTCTTCACAAACTACCTTTCCTCTTTGAAAACGTATTGAGCGCTGAACTGTTCCACATCGCTTTCTGAATACCTGGACCTCATAAACATACATGTTACTTATCAGGTCGTTCTCTTTAGAATCTACATCCTGAGAAATGTTTTCAGTATCATTTTTTCTAATGAAAGTGTAATTTCTTTCTACTTTACCTTTTTGTCTCTTTTTGCAGAAGATGATGATCAACACGAGTACGATTAAACCAACGACAGCCAGACTGACAGCCACAGCTACAGATGAATTATCTTCAGAAACACAAGAGTCAAAAGTTAGAGGGACGTAGATCACTCATCACCAAAACAACTTACTGTAGAACTGTAACAACAGGAGAATATAGAGTCTCTCTTTTACAACAACCAAAACATTGATTTAGGAGAGCTCTTGAGCTCTCTTAGGCTCCTCGAGATCTTTGGTTGACGCCCTGCCAGAACATCACCCCCCCACCCCCTTGCTCTCTATCCCTCTTTCTGCATTTTATCCCATTTCTCCCCCTATCCCTTTCCGAGCCCGGTGCAGTCTAGGCCTGTGAAGTTTTTTCTTACCACTGTAACTTTTGCTGCTTTGCTAAAGTGCTCATGATGGATAGGCCGGATCTTTGTAATATAACAATGAGTAAGGTCTTTTACCTGCTTTTTGTAAAGTGTCTCGAGATAACACTTGTTATGAGTTAACATTAATAAAAAATTGATTGATTTATTTATTTTGTTAACAACTTTGAATCCTTGAGTCAAAGGGATCTTAAGGGCTTCTGGGTCCTCTGCACCCTCAGCCTGGAATCTGTTACAGAATGACTTAAAGCTCAAGGAGCTGGAGTCCTTAAATGTTTTTAAATCTAAAATGAAAGACATGGAAGCAGATTCTACAGGATCTCGATGTTTTAGCTGTTTGAACGACTGATTCCCAGATATGACTCATAGATGGTTCTATTTTAATCCAAAATGTTGTGTTTTGTAAACTGTAATTTGTCTCTCTTTGTGTTTCTGTCTGTAACTTTGTGTTTTTGCTGCTGCCTGTCTCGGCTCGGTCTCAGTGAAAAAGAGGTTTTTAATCTCAATGGGACCAACCTGGTTAAATAAAGGTTCATTAAAATATATAAATATATATATTTTCATTCAACTTCCTGTCAAACCCTGGTGAGAAATAGTGTAACTTGGCAACAAAGCTTCAAGTTTTCTAAAAGAACATTCACTTCAAAATGACCAAATCAGAAACCTGAACGTCCAGTTATACATGAGATCATACCGTGATAACAATCCTTTGCTGTGAATGTCGCCGTCTCACTGCTCACAGGGTTGCTGACTGAACAGCTGTATTCTTCGTTATCTCGTTCGTCTCCCAGAGAAATATTAAACTTGTGTCCCGGTTGTGATTTTCCCCGTGCTCTCCACTCAAACTTCATCATGGACTCAGGTGGGGTGGGGTCTGCAGAGCACAGCAGCGTCGCTCGGACCTCAGAAACATCGGAGCCACCGTCTTTGTTTAACTCACAAGATATGGTCGGCATGGCAACCTTGTCTTGAAGAAACATGTAAAAAAAATAAAGAAATAAATGAATACATACTGAAATCATTGTAGTATGTTACGTATGTATCGGATGCTGATATGATATGAGCCATCACATCACTATTGGTATCGACTAATTTTATCTCTGATATGAGCCAATTTAACGAGGTTTCTTCAATTTAAGTTTATTTATGTTTTACATAGTTTTTAATAATAATTGTTCATTTCTAAGTATAAATTAGTGTTTAAAGGCTTTATATGTGATTTTTTGATCCAGCAGATGTCGCCCTTGAGCAAATTATTTCGATATGTCGGCCCCAAAAATCCCATACGTGTCGGGTCCTAGTTTGTATACAAAGAAACATAAAATCTGTGCAAACAAGTGAATAATATGATAACATAATGTCGGGTATAAAGGGCATACACTGCTTATCAGAACGGGTTTGAGGTCAAACACACACACACACACACACACACACACACACACACACACACACACTGTGTTCACTATGTTCTGTGACTTAAGAGAGTGAAAGTAACTTCTTCTTTGACTGAATATAAACCGTCTTCAGATGCTTGAACAATTAGTTTTTTATCAAGGGCACACCTCTCGGCTGATACCAAAGCCATCGTAAAAAAGTAGATCCAGTACTATAAAACCCATTTGATAGCACACATATAAAAAGATAATATTTGCTCTCCCCTCTACAGTGCCCTTCAGTTCCTTTTAGAGTCCTGTTACAGTTACTTGCCCACGGTAACTTAAAGTGAGAAAAGGATTGTTCTGACCGCCTGAAGTGTAGAATGTGATAGAATAATGAGATGAGATGAGATGAGATGAGATTCAACTTTATTGTCATTACACATATACAAGTATAGAGTAACGAAATGAGGTTTGGCATCTCACCAGAAGTGCAAATAAGCAGAAAGTGCAAGAGTCTGTGCTATGTACAGTAATTGAGTGCAAGAGTCTGTGCTATGTACAGTAATTCTGTGTTATGTACAGTAATTGCAAAATTTACAGAAGTAGACAAAAAAAGTGAATTATTAGGTATATCTGGATGGCTGGATTAATGGGATGCAATAAATATAAATAAATAATGCTACAAAATAAGTGTGTTTTTAGGATTATAATATACAGATTAAGTTGCAGTGAGCATGCTATACTAATAATATACAGGTTAAGATGCAGTGAGCATGCTATACTAATAATATACAGATTAAGATGCAGTGAGCATGCTATACTAATAATATACAGATTAAGATGCAGTGAGCATGCTATACTAATAATATACAGATTAAGGTGCAGTGATCATGCTATACTAATAATATACAGATTAAGATGCAGTGAGCATGCTATACTAATAATATACAGATTAAGGTGCAGTGAACATGCTATACTAATAATATACAGGTTAAGGTGCAGTGAACATGCTATACTAATAATATACAGATTAAGGTGCAGTGAACATGCTATACTAATAATATACAGATTAAGGTGCAGTGAACATGCTATACTAATAATATACAGATTAAGGTGCAGTGACATGCTATACTAATAATATACAGATTAAGATGCAGTGAGCATGCTATACTAATAATATACAGATTAAGATGCAGTGAGCATGCTATACTAATAATATACAGATTAAGATGCAGTGATCATGCTATACTAATAATATACAGATTAAGATGCAGTGATCATGCTATACTAATAATATACAGATTAAGATGCAGTGAGCATGCTATACTAATAATATACAGATTAAGATGCAGTGAACATGCTATACTAATAATATACAGTTAAGATGCAGTGACATGCTATACTAATAATATACAGATTAAGATGCAGTGAGCATGCTATACTAATAATATACAGATTAAGATGCAGTGATCATGCTATACTAATAATATACAGATTAAGATGCAGTGAACATGCTATACTAATAATATACAGATTAAGATGCAGTGAGCATGCTATACTAATAATATACAGGTTAAGATGCAGTGAACATGCTATACTAATAATATACAGATTAAGGTGCAGTGAGCATGCTATACTAATAATATACAGATTAAGATGCAGTGATCATGCTATACTAATAATATACAGATTAAGATGCAGTGAGCATGCTATACTAATAATATACAGATTAAGATGCAGTGAGCATGCTATACTAATAATATACAGATTAAGATGCAGTGATCATGCTATACTAATAATATACAGATTAAGATGCAGTGAGCATGCTATACTAATAATATACAGATTAAGATGCAGTGAGCATGCTATACTAATAATATACAGATTAAGATGCAGTGATCATGCTATACTAATAATATACAGATTAAGATGCAGTGAGCATGCTATACTAATAATATACAGATTAAGATGCAGTGAGCATGCTATACTAATAATATACAGATTAAGATGCAGTGAGCATGCTATACTAATAATATACAGATTAAGATGCAGTGAGCATGCTATACTAATAATATACAGATTAAGATGCAGTGAGCATGCTATACTAATAATATACAGATTAAGATGCAGTGAGCATGCTATACTAATAATATACAGATTAAGATGCAGTGAGCATGCTATACTAATAATATACAGATTAAGATGCAGTGAGCATGCTATACTAATAATATACAGATTAAGATGCAGTGAGCATGCTATACTAATAATATACAGATTAAGATGCAGTGAGCATGCTATACTAATAATATACAGATTAAGATGCAGTGAGCATGCTATACTAATAATATACAGATTAAGATGCAGTGAGCATGCTATACTAATAATATACAGATTAAGATGCAGTGAGCATGCTATACTAATAATATACAGATTAAGATGCAGTGATCATGCTATACTAGTTTACAGATAATATAAAGAATATGGACATAATATGAACATACTATAATACAATAATACAGATGGATGAGAGATGTGTGTGTGTGACCAGGAGGAGTGGTGGGGGGATGATGGGTGTGAGGTGATATGCAGGCAAACTGGAAATGAGCGACTTGAATGAGCGACTTGAAATATGAACGTTGCCAGAAGTACAAAGTCTATAAAGATATCCCCACAACAGCCATAAAACCTGTGGTGAAAGGTTTTATAACAGTTCTGAAGTTGATCATTGGTAATATTCTACATAAAGCAGATTTTACAGCCCAACAGTGTGACTCACTGAATCTGTATCAGCCTTGCACATCCATTCAGTTCAGCTTCTGAGGGCTTAAAGCCACAAAGTTTAAAACTGATTTCTGGAAAAATAACTCATCTTCTGATGTTTCAGCTTTTCTTCACAGCTTCAGCAGTTTCTTTAGATTTCTCTGTTGTGTGCCTGATTCTACAATTCATTCACAAGATGCTTCTGTCCAAAGCGACGTACATGAAGGAGTTTTTTTCCAGCTAGCTAGAACTTGTTTCTGAGCCAATGCCGTGTCCACTACAGAATCTGTTTTTAAAGCAGGGCTGTCTCAGGGACACACAGTTTGTTTTGTTGGCCTTGTCCTCCACTTACAGATATTTCTTTAGATTCTCTGAATCTTTTTATAAGATGTAAAGTTTGCAGACAATGAACGCCCCACATTCATTTCAATTGTAAGTAAAAAAAACAACAACAAGATTCTAATTGTTTCACCTCAGCACAGACTTTCACAGACGCCGTTCACATCTTTTTTTTAAACCATCATGTTACTAACCTGCAGCCAGTTCACCTTCTAAACTTTGACATGTTCCATCAGCTTCTGTGCTACTGCACCAACTTTCTTTTTAAACATTTTGGAATTAAATTCAATTCAAAATCAAAAAAAGTTGAACATTTTCGTGAAAAATTTCGGCCTCAAAAAATGTTGAAAATGTTCATGAAAAAAACTTTGGTTTCCAAAAAGTTGGACATTTTGGTGAAAATTAAACAATGTCATTTCACAGTTTCAACATTTAGCAGGTTGTCTTTGTGCTATTTTCAATTCCATACGGGGTTTCAATGTTTCAAATCATCCCTTTCTGTTTCTATTCACATTTTACTCTGAGGTTTTACTTTTAACCCTCTTCCAGCTGTAGGATGGATTGATTATAATCTGTGTGTTCAATGTTAAACTTACCTATGACCTCCAGTTTGAATTCTGACAGATGTAACATGTTGTTGATGTCGACTTCCACTTCATAGAGTCCTCTGTCTTCTAACTTGAGGCCGGTGATTTCGAGCTCTGCCGAGACCCAGTCGAGAGTGATCCTGTTTTTGTACGCTCCGTACACCTGTTCCTCTCTGCTGTCAAACTCCACCACTTTGTTTCCGTTATGTTTCCACAGAATTGAATTTGGTTGTCCAGAAAAGGTCGGCTTCAAGCTCTCCCCCGTCCCCTTGAGGACATATTTTGTAGGCGGTTCAGCACCTAGAACTGATCATAGAGAGGTATGAGAATATGAAGCATGTGTCTTTGTAAGGGTTCTGCATATTTAAAACAACTCTAATGAAACGTGTTTATAGAATTTAGAGACCGTTAATCCTGTTTAGTACTCGAGCATTATTATCTGTTATTAATATATTGTACTCATAATAAATGTGGATGGAGAAAAAACAGCAAGTTACTAAAAACACTTTTGTACGACGGAGGATTACGGCCATGTTACATTTTTTTATTTTTTTATTTCAAGATTAAAGTCGTAAATTTACGACTTTATTCTTGTAAATTTATGAGTTTAATCTCAAAATTTAAAATAATAATATTTTTTTAACATGGCCTAAATCCTCCGTCGTACTTTTGGATATGAGGTTAGAACTTTCTTTTTTTAATCCAAATAAAAAAAATGGAGAAAAGGACTTTAAGGTAAGATGCTCATGCGGTCTGGAATCTCCTGCAGGATGATCTGTGTCTGTCTCTTTAAATCTTTTTTAAAGTAGTCTGAAGGTGTTGGAGGCAGTAGCTCAGTCTGTAGGGACTTGGGTTGGGAATCAGAGGGTCGCTGGTTCAAGTGTTTCGCTGGTTCAGTGTGCACAAACAGTGTATGCATTTCAGCCTATGTTTGTGTAGCATGTTAACTAGACAGAGTGTAAAAACAAATTTCCCCTCGCGGGATCAATAAAGTATACATTATTATTTATTATAAGATGCTTCAGGTTGTAGATGCTTTGAATAATTAACTTTTCTTCTCTGTGACTCAGGATGTTGATCTGTGTTTGTGATTACTCTGTGTGTTTATCTCTGTAATGTGTTTATTGTACTGCTTTACTCTTGTAAATAAGATTTTTAATCTCAATGCAGGACTAAGTCACTTTTAGTCTAGGTCATTTAAACAACTTCCTATGGCGACACAGCAACATTTGACAGAATTCATCAGTTATTGGATCACCATGGAGACAGATCAGCTGTTTAACATTTTATTCACTTAAAACACAAGCAGTTGTACCTGAACACCTCCCTGACTAACAACAAATTCTCCTTCAACTTATGTTTCCAGAATCCTTGTTCCAGTGTCTTAATTGTGAGATAGTCCGGCTTTTATTTGTGTTACATGAATTGAATATTTTCTAAGTCGGAGAACAAAACCATGCATCAAGATCTATCTGTCAAAACTTTCAGTATGATTCCGATCAGTAAAAATATGTCAAACTTCTGCCTGAACAATGACCAGAGAACACGTCTCTGCCATTGTCCCAGGATTAACACTTCATGATGATACATGCTGAGTAAAGAGTGGTGAAGATGTGTGTTTAGTTTGTTCATGTGTAACAAGTGTAAAGTCGATGTTAAACATTTGAATACAAAGTTAAAACAAATAAAAGTAAACATGAAATAGACTAATATCATCAGGTGTATTTCTTAGTCTGTTATTAACAAACGTATCAAAGTAATGCTGTGTTTCTATAAAGTCTATTACTTCATAATAAACATGTGAATTATGCATTTTTAAAAGCAAAATACTGCACAGGTCAAAACTTATGTACATGTCTGATAAGGAAACAGTTTTTAGCTGCAGTGAACTATTGAACCCTCTTTGTATTAATGATTACTGAACATGTCTGGTCCTGCTCGTGGTGAGGTCTGCAGCTCTGTAGGTTCATTAAGTCTCAAGATAAAAACAGCAGAATGTTAAAGAAGAAAAACTCACCGAGGCAGGAGGTAAATAAGAACGAGGCCAGGAAATAAAAGCAACCCATTGCAGAGCAGCAGAATAATCACAGGTATGCTCCGCAGCCGCCGTCGTACCTTCAGTGTACTTTCACTTTCACTTTGTCGTCGCGGGTGCAGGAACAGAAAAAACACTTTTACTCTCTGATTTAACTCCAACAACTCGTGGGTTGTTATTTCTCCTTCCAACAAGTCAGAACAGGATCAAGTCAACACTTCTTGGAGCAGTCGGGCTCAGGTAACACAAAGGGGCGCGGCTGTAGGACGCAGACAAACAGGCAAGGTTCTAAACGAAAGTATCTCGTCCAGATGTGTCCATCTGAGCTTCCGGTCTGTGTATACCTCCGACCTTCACAATAAGGTAGAAGCTCGACCATTGTGTAGTCACGACGCCTACATGCGAGGCTACACGGCTTAAGTTAGGCTACTTTTTCAAACTTCAAATATCTCTTAATATGTGGACGGAACAATGTTAACTATTGGTTTTATATGCAGACACACTGTTTGTTCATCTGCTCTCAGGTGCCCACCTGAAAAGGTGTGTTTCCCAGCTTCGGTGTACAGATGTTATCAATAGAAGACAGTCCGTTTTAACTAAAAACAAAAATTAAATAGGTTTTGTCTTATTTTCTTCTTTTTTTCCCTCACCTGCTGTTTGTATTTAGCCTCTGTGCTTTTAGTTTGAAATCAAACCGGAAACTGGGCTTTGACAGTTTAGTCACGATGCCAAATCTTTTTTTGAAGGTTGTGCGGGCTGTTAAAGAAACAGGAGCAGTATGCTTTCGTTGTGTCTCTCATTTACAAACAATTTATATTTGAATGTATTTTTAATTTCTTTAGGTTTGTAAGGTTTGTGTCTTAAACATGTTTACAGAATGTAGATAGTATTGTATGGAAGCGATTAGTGATCAGAATTCAAATGATAAAGCTAATTTGAAAATTAAAATCCATCAACAGAAATGTTTTTTAATTTTCAGAATATGGGAGTATTATTTGACTCAAAAATAAAATTATGACTAATTTATCTGAATAGAATTTTAGTTTTCAACTTCAAAAATGCACATTTTTTTAAATTGAAAAAGCAAATGTAATTTTCTAAATTTTAATTTAGTCAAAGAATGTGCATTTTTATTTAAATGATTACATGTTATCATTTGAATTCTGATCACTAATCACTTCCATAGTATTCATCTTATGATCGTCTCGCTTTATGTCTTTATCACCACTTGATGGCAGTGTTGATAAAAAAAGGCCTACAGAGTGATTTATACTACACACAGTCTATATTCATTTCATGAGTATTGAGCCATTCTGTTTTTGCATTCTGTTCATTGTGAAATCAACAATGTATTTATGTTGTATATTTTTGTACATTTTAGGTATATTTACATCTATTTATTTTTTAAGGTTAAGAAATCTTGTGATTGTTTCTGATTAATATTTGATCTATTCATTCATTCAACTTTTATTTAATCTTGAGGAATCATTGAGGGCATGCACTGCTTTGCAATGATGTTGATTTAAAATTCCAATTCATACAATTTAAGTTCAAATCTGACATTGTTCTGCTGAAGGTTTAAACATATTGATTGACAGTAGTTGAAAGTGACAATGTGACACAAAATGAACACACATGAATACTTCATCATGACTCTCCTTGACTTTTCCTTTTCAGTCTTTCTATCAGCAACAGAAGCCTGCGTCACTGACAGTCTGCAGGCATCACTCTGTGTATGTGTGTGTAGGACTTCATGAGGGTCACACTGCCATGATGTGACACTCCCAGAGGTAAAACACACTCCTCTGTGAGCAGCCCCTGGCCGACATCCCAGCACATCACTGTGGAGATGACTTGGTTTTTGTTATCTCGTCCACCGGTGATGAAGAGTTTGTTGTTGCAGGCGGCGATGGCACAGCTCGCTCTCTCCCCGAGACGGGTCACAAGAGACCACGAGTCTGACACAGGTGAGTAGCAATACATGGCATGCATGGCACCACCTGGGAGAGACACAAAAACTATCACAATATAATAATAACAATAACATAATACGCCTGAACTGACCACAACACAATCCTAACAGCTTGCATTATTCATTATTTATTGTTAATTATCTATTTATAAACACAAAGGACAACATAACTGCTGCTACCTTTTTTTTATCGCTGCTGCTATTTTATTATTTTATTATGAATCTGTACCGGTATATTTTATTTAGACATGTCTATTGCTGCTACTGTGTACAGTATATTATTTGTATATAACTTTTATTTTATTCTTTGTATCTGTGTGCTGTTCTATCCTTTGGTGTTACCTGCTGCTGGAATCTGAATTTCCTGAGGGAAGCTTCCCAAGGGATTAATAAAGTTCCTATCTATCTGTCATCTAACAAATATACATGCAAATCCATTTCTTACACAACATGTAAAACATAAAATCAACATTCTGAGGAGACTTTTTGAGACAATGCTTTGAGGTAATCTTGAAGCCAGTTAAAAGCTTGGGGCGTTGGTACAACTCAAGCCTCAAGGACTCTGACCAAAGCGAAAAACTGAGGGAAGAAACCATCAATGGCCTTGCAAACATAGACAAGACCCTCCTTCCTGGCAGGTTGAAACTGTGGTGCCTCCAGTTGGGATTGCTCCCCCGTCTAATGCGGCCTCTGAAAGTTTATGAGATTCCTGTCACCAAAGTAGAGAAGCTAGAGAGAACAGTCAGTTCATACATCAAGAAATGGCTTGGACTCCCACGTTGTCTCAGCAATATCGGCTTGTATGGAATTGACACGCTGAAACTGCCGGTCACAAGCCTGGCTGAGGAGTACAAATGCGCTAAGGTAAGACTGGACATGACCCTGACCGAATCCCAAGACTCCACAATACGAGCGGCTGCTCCCAGGTTGGCAACAGGGAGGAAGTGGACCCCAACTGAGGCTGTACAACAGGCAAAGTCAGCTCTCAGGCATGGAGACAGTGTAGGCCAGGTGCAGCATGGAAGAGGTGGTCTTGGTCTCGGAACAAGCAGACCTACATGGCACAAAGCAACACTCGGCCAGAGAAGAACGCTTGTTGTAGCAGAGGTGCGTCACCAGGAAGAGGCAAAAAGATGTGCAATGGCTGTCTCACAGGCCAAACAGGGCCAATGGACGAGATGGGAAAATCTGGATCATCGAAAAATCACATGGAGGGATGTTTGGGAGATGGAAGGAAGCAGACTTAGTTTCATCATTAGAGCCACCTATGATGTCCTTCCCACTCCTGAGAATCTAAGCCAGTGGGTTGGAGAAGACCCAGCATGTCCACTCTGCCAAACACCAGCAACCCTAAGACATATTCTCACCGGCTGCAGAACAAGCCTCACCCAAGGACGGTATACCTGGAGGCACAACCAGGTCCTCCGGCAACTGGCTCTAATCCTAGAAGGGAGGAGGGCTACCACCAATGCACTCTCTCCCCCAACCTCTGGCTTCAATTACACTACTACCTTCGTACCAGCAGGACAAGACTGAAGGAATCCAACCGTGAGAAGGGAAGCATGCCTATTGGATGCATCCAGGGATTGGAAAATGCAAGTTGATCTTAACCAGAAACTTGTTTTTCCACCAGAAATTGTTGCAACCAATATCAGGCCGGATTTGATTATGTGGTCAGCCTCACAAAAGTCCCGATATATTGTGGAACTAACTGTGCCATGGGAGGCTGCAGTTGGGGAAGCATATAAACGCGAGAGGCTGAAATATTCAGATATGGCAGGCGAGGCAGTACAACGAGGCTGGAGAACGCAAGTACTCCCTGTGGAGATTGGCTGCAGAGGCTTTGTTGCAACATCTTCCACCAGGCTACTGAAAGGGATGGGAGTCCGTGGACAGGCCCTCCGAAGAGCCATCAGGTTGCTGTCAGAGGCTGCAGAACGAAGCAGCAATTGGATCTGGCTGAAAAGAAAGGATCCCAACTGGGCTGCAAGATGACCATAAACATACAGGAGGGGTAAAAGCAGAGTTGCCGTTGAGCCCTCTGGAGATGTCGTGGGCCTATCAATGAAACATCAAGGAAGGAGGGTGCTCACCTGATGACCCCAATGAAGTGATTACCCCCCCCCCCCATTCAAGACATCAAGACTCAATAAAATGGAGCTCAGCGTAAGTTCAGACAGGAAAACTGGTTATATTCTTTCACAAATTCATTCATCCTTTCACTTCAACCTAAACTACTTCCTCCGTCTCCCTGCTCTGGTAGAGTTCATTTCAGAGTAATCACAGACGCTCTTTATACAACAAGTGAAGAATAATATCACAACATGTAGCGCCCTCCACCGACAACTCACCAACGATATAGATGCAGTCCTTGAATGTCACTGCATTGGTGCATTTGGTGTCGATGGGAATGGGGGCCCGCAGTTCCCAGCAGTCCGTCCCGGGCTCCCAGCACTGGACCTGATCGGTCGCCAGCTTTCCATTGGGCCCTCCACCAATCACATAGATCCGCCTGTCATAGCTAGCTGCAGCAAAAGAGCTAACCGCTACTGCAAGAGGCGTCACCTGTGAGTGGAGACAAACGGGGGATCTGAAGTTGATGACATTTTATTTTTATCTAGAGAGGGCGGAGGAGTCGATCACACACCTCTGTGATGAGTTAAGATGATGTTTTATGGGGAAGTAGAAAAAAGCTGATTTTTTTTATAGATCACTTAACAAAGTCAGTAAATAGGTGCTTATTCACACATACATGGCATTGCCCAACATTAAGATGGATATGTACTAAGTATATGTATTAATATGTACATAATAATAATATCTTTATTTATATAGCACCTTTAAAAACAAATGTTTACAAAGTGCTGTGACAGACAAAGCAAATACAGCAACACGACAACAGAACAGAAATCAACAGAGAGGACAAAATTATATAAATGTAAATAAGAGGAATTACATTCAACAGGCAGGTATGAAGAGGCAGTTCAATACAATGAAGGAAACATTAGTTTCAAATCAACCAGGAGAGAACAAAATGAAAATAGAGGGAGAGTGGGACGACATCACATCACAGGCTGTAAACACAGAATGAAGATAAAAAGAAGAGATAAACAGGACATTGGTTAAATGAATAAAGAAACAGAGAGATGAAGAGTTAAACCATAAAAGGAGTAGGAATTTAAAAAGACTAAGAGCAGTACAATTAATACAGGAAGGGGAAACATTTAAAGGCTAAAACATTTAAAGAAGAGAAAGATAAAAAGGTTAAAATCAATAAAATTAATAAAAGGAAGCAATAGATCTTTAAAGGAGAAATCACATAAAAGTAAGTTTATAAAAGTGAGTTTTAAGAAGTGAACTTGTAGTGTACTTGTTGGCCTGGTTAAATTCAGTTTAATATACATTCTCTGGTGAGCTCTGTTTTGATGGTCAGCCTCTTTCTTTGCTTTTGGCTTCACATGTTCAACAGCCAGTTAAGCCGTCCATCTTTTGGTACCAGAGACTTACAGACTTTTTCCTTTAAAGCTTTTTACTCAGAATAGCAGTCTGTTGTAGTTGGACACGATGCTCGGGAGAGCAGTGAGAAGCAAACTGTTTAGTGTCCTAATACTGAAACACTGAACTGAAAGACGAGGGGTTAAAACAGAGGCGGGGGATTATTCACTCCAACCATCACCGCTCACAAACAGGGAGAATTTGATGTAAAGTCCCTAATTAGCACCACTGTCCTTTTTTTAACCTCCTGAAAGTTTACCTGTGTCCAGCGGTTGTGAAACGGATCGTAGGCCTCTACACTCGCGAGCCTCTGAACACCATCAAAGCCCCCGAGAGCGTAAACCTTCCCCCCATGAACGGCCATCTTGTGTCTCCAGCGCGCAGTGATCAGGGGCTCGAT